TACTCTTGGTGAAGGGTGACTGAATAACCTCATCATCCATATCATTTTCTGGTGTGGTCATATAGTCCCTACTGGGGATGCACCTCTCCAACATCTCGGCATTAGTCGACTTACCCCCCTGATCCAGGGTTTCGCACAGAGAGGGTTGACCCCTCCTCGGACTCCCCCATGCCCCATTGTCCGGACAGTGTCTAACAGAGGTCATTCCAAGCCAATAGCCTAGTCCTCTTGGTTGGGACCTTCGGGAGCTTTCCTTTGGCCCTTGGGCGCTTTGAAACCTTGGAGCTCTCCGCACCACCACTTAAGCGGTTCCTCAAGTCCTGAGCTCTCATCTCCCTGACAGAGGGCTCTCGTGACTGTCACAAGTCTCGAGATCCTCCGCCGGAGAGTGAAAACTCATCAAGTTGATTTAGGATGTTCACGTTGTCCTCTTCTAACTGTTGTAGTCGATCCGCGAACCGATCCTTAATCACCTCAGCAAGTTGTCGTGCCAATGGGGTTAATTTTCTAGACCCGATACCCATACTAGTTTGGCTTTGCTCCCTAGAATGAATGGAAAGTTCCTTGTTTACACTTTCTATGCGATCCTTCGTTCTTGATATGGATTGAGCCGGTATATCGATATTCCTTTGCTGAGGTTTCCCTTTTGACGAGTATTCACCATGGTCACTGTTCTTCAGGAAGTTTAGTCCACAGATGACGCCAGATTGTGCAGGTTATTTTTTGCACAATAAATAGATAAAAATAGATCTCTCCCTTGGTGGACTCGTATTTACCTCGTACAATCTCAATTTCTGTGAGAGAGGGGAAGAAAAAGACATTGTATGTTCTGAGAAGTGATTTTGCATACCTTGGTGTTGAGTTTGAGAGGGTTATTTATACCTTCTATGGAAGTCATCATTACTGGCTAGTAGGCAGTAGGTAGTGCCCAATCATTGGACCGCATATCTTCCTCTTTTGCAGGGACAAAGTCCAGGCATTAAACACTCGGCCTCCCGAGCATTTAATGCCCCTTTCCCCTAGCTCCCGAGCATTTAATGCTCTTTCTTCAATGCAAAGACATTAAATGCACGGTCTTTAGAGCATTTAATGTTCCTCTTTCTAGGCTTCATAAGTCACCATGGGCGTCCCATCCTTCTGAAGATCCATTAATTGCTTCTCTGGATGGTTGCATGTCAACAGGGATATTTATGCCAATATACGTCTGGTCTTGTACATTATGTCACGCATCTAACTTCCCTTGGTTGTTGGTCATGTGCACTCTGCCATTCTGACCCACTTAGGTAAGATAAACCAATGATTCATAGTCTAACTCTGAGATTGATGGGCTGCAACTATCAACGACCATTTCTAGGAGTCGAGGTGACGTGTCCCAAGGTGTCCTCGAGATCCAATCGCACAGAGGAAAGTGTCAATATCACAAAGATTGAGGTGTCCTCGGTGCCGAGGACACGTGACTTTATCAAAGATCATTAAGTGTCCCTGGAACTGAGGACACGTGTCTCCGTCAAAGAGCATGAGTGTCCTCGGTGCCGAGGACACATGGCAACATTATGGAGTCGGTCGTGTCCTTGGTACTGAGGACACATGCTTTGTCAGAGAGCTTGGGAGTGTGCCCTTGGTGCCGAGGGCACATGTCAAAACCCTCTCCTTTCTCAGTTTGTATATATATATATATATATATATATATATATATATATATATATATAATAAAGTAGTTTATAATTCAAATCTCAAAAACAAAATGACTTTTACTTTTCGTGGTGCAGATCGCTTTAAATTTTATTTTAAAGTTAATCTAATGGTTAATATTAACACCCTAAATTTAATAGAAAAAAAAAGACTCCTAATGGTGTGTTTGAAATGACTTTTTAAAAATATTTATAAGAATTATTTCTTATAAGTACTTTTAAAAAAAATAGTGTTTGAAATCCTCCCACCACTACCTCTACCACCACCACCGCCTTCGCCGCCACCTCCGCCACCACTATCGCCGCCACCGCCACCGCCATCACCGCCACCACCACTGCCACCGCCACCTCCGCAATCGCCACTATCACTGCCATCGCCGCCATCACCACCACCACTCTCGTCGCTGTCGTTGCCACAACCACTATTGCCACCACCGTCGCCGCTGCCACCACCACCATTATCGCCACCACGATCATTGTCACCCATCACAATCATCACTGTCTCCTATCATCACCACTGTCGTTCATCACCTCTCACTCTCATTACAACCGATGCTTAAATTTATTTATCTTTTCTCTATGTTTGTAATTTAATTTTGGATATGAATAAAAATGTTTATTTTTTATTACTTTGTGCTTTAAGACACAGACAATAACTAATATATATATATATATATATATATATATATATATATATATATATATATATATATATATATATTATCAGATAACGAATCCAAAATATTTCGATAAATATAGGGAGTATGAACAACAATTAGATATTATACGCACGGGAACAAAAGAGGGAACCCATCGAACAATTCGATTCTGTTATTCCAGAATAAACCATGATAAATAAAATAAAAGAAAAGAAAAACACAAACACACACCAAAAGAAAGAGAATTTATGGGTAGAGAGAGAGAGCGCTGGAGACGACTTTGAATACTGGGCACACGATTTGGGAGATAGGCATGGCTAAATAGTAGGATGGTTATTTAAAAAGAAAAATTAATTAGAATGAATTTGAGTACAAAAAATGTACTAAAACTTGATTTTATGCTTAAAAGTATTCCGATTATATTTAATGACTTAAAAGACCATTTAAAAGGACATTTGATCAATTTTTTCTAGATAAATAAATACAAAAAATATAATAAGACTTCTAGAACCGTCACACAATAAGCTTTTGGCAACTAAGCCGCAAGGAATGACATACAAAACTTATTCTATTAACTCATATAATATCTTAGAAATATACTATTCAATATAATATCTCTACTTTTTTATCAATATAAAACACATGATATGTGTATTTTTTTCGGACGAATTATACTTTGTACCTTCAAAGATTTTAAGATTCACATTTTACATTTTTGCAAATTAAATTTTTGATATTATACCCTCAATTTATAAAAATATTATAATGTGAACATCTATTATCTTTTTGTTAATTTTTTTTTCAATATCAATGAATTAACTTTTGATAGAAAAAATAACATAAACTAACAAAATGACCACATTGCAACACTTTTAATACATTAAAAATTATGTGCAATGTGAGAAATTTAATCTTTAAAAATATAAAATGAAAATCTTAAAATTTTTCAAAATACAAGTACAAAAATTTTTTCTTTTTATCATTTTTTCAATCAATTATTATAAATCATCTAATTTAAATTTAACGATCTGAATCATTTTTCAACATGGTACGACAAAGGTACCATAGTCTTACCCTAAGACCAAACAATACATCAACTAGGGCTGGCAAATGGGTAGGTTGGATTGGTTATCAGTTGGGTTAAATTGGATTGGGCTAAAATAAATCAAATCTATTTTTTACTCACCTAATAAATGTGTTGGGTTTATAACGGATTGGGTTAAACCGATTAACTCATAAAATAATTAAAATTTTTAATAGACAAATTAATGCGCTAAAACACACACACACACATTAATAGTACACCAAAATATAAACATACACAAACACATTGATACACCAAAACACACACAAACTAATACATTAAAAATATACACTAAAATACACACTAATACACCAAAAATATACACACATACCAACACAAAAAGTAATACATATTTAATAAAAAAAACATACACATAATGAGTCGGAGTCAATTGTGGGCTATGGATTAGTCTGTGGGTCGGCCCATGAGTCGTGGAGTGACACGTGGGTCATGGGTGGTGTATTAGTGTGTGTATTTTTTGTGTATTAGTGTGTGTATTTTTTGATATATTAGTACATATGTATATATATTTTGGTGTAATAGTGTGTTTATTTTTTGGTATATTAATATATTTATTTAATTTTATTACTTGTGTTATTTAATAAAAAGATAAATATTCAACTCAATAAGTACCCATTTGTAATACATATTAATCCGCTTAATTAAAATAAATCATATTATTCAACCCATTTAGAACATATATTAATTAATATTAATACCTAACTCATTTATTTATGAACTGATTAAAGAGATTAATAAATAATAAATTAAGATTTTCACCTCTAACAACAACAAATGACAAACGCGGATGCAGAGGCAAAAGAGACATGATGCTTGTAATCTCATCTCTGAAACATTATCATTAACCTTGAACAAAACCCCCATCCATCTGCCTCACCCTTAAATCCCTCATGTCTCTCTCACTACCCTCAAAGCACGATAGTTTAGGTGATGATCAACCTCGACATTATACTTTTTGAAGCACACGGATCCTCTTTACTGTCTTAGTTTAAGCCATACATCTCACACTCACAAGTATAGTGGCAGCACCTTTTCCCCTCTAGCAGCATAACGTCTCTTTATCTTCTTTCCACCCTTATCTGGAATCCTTAATTCTATAACATATATAAGGGTGGCAAAATTTAAATAACCATCAACATTACACAAAATTAAAATTTGAATCTTTCTTAAACCATCCATTTTATAAACGAGTAAACCTCGTTACGACATAATTAATAAACAAATCGAATATGAATAAAATCAATTAAAAAAATATAAAACACGACTCGTTTATATAATTATTATATAACATGACTCTAATAAACCACGATTCGTTAGACACGAATTAAGAAACAAATTAGGTATGAGTAAAACACTTTTTGATACAAATCCGTTTTACTTGACACGGTTGACAAAACTAATCATACATACTTGCAATTAACAATTTTCTTTGGCAAGTTAAATTTACAAAAATCAAAGAACATACACAAACATTCCCCAAATTTACCATAAATTAATGGTCGTAGGAACACCCCCTTTGAAGTTTTTACAGTTTTTTTTTTTTTTGATCTGCGAATTTCTGCAGGGGTTCAAGCGATGAACAAGAAAAAGAAAATGATGTAAAATCTCTCTCAAACTTGGGGACAAAATTGCAGGCCCATCACCCAAACCAAATTTTCAGTGCCTCCAGTGCAAATCACTGTTATGAGTTTTGCGGGTCTGTACCATGAAACTTCCTCCCGGCTTCAACAGCTTCCCTGTAAAAACGTCAAGAGGTTAGTACCCCTAGACCAAGTAGAAAGAAATTTAACATGTTTTCATTCCTGCTTAAGGGTAGGCTGCTGGATGGCTTAAGATTCAAATGCAAAAAACATTTAAGTAGCCAGTTCTTTTACAACATCCATTGTTCTTTTTTTATTTTTGCTTCCCTTCCCAACGAGTCTTTCGTCTACGAGATTCAGTAATGCCCAAACAAGTCTTAGTACATGACCAAAGTCACCAAACCTTGTTACTTGGACCAATCAACATGGGTAACTACACGCCATATGCTTAGGCGGCAAATAACTTGGGTTGAATTCCGAAATGCCAATAATTACAAACTCTTGAAACAATCACAAAATTCGAAGTCAGGGATGGCTACAAAGGGCTGGTCTCTAAGTATTTTTGGTGTCATTCTTGCCAATGTGGTTTTTAAAGCCTACATGGAAACCAGAGAGCACCATATACAGGACAAAGATAAAGCCTATGCCTGGTTCCTTCCTTCCTTCCTTCCTTCCTTCCTTCCTTCCTGCAACCCCCACTCCCACTCCCACTCCCACTCCTCCCCTCACTATCAATTCCATCAAATTCACTTTGACTATTTCAAAAACATAAATCTTCCCGAAGATACTATTTCTCCTTGCATCTAGACCTTTTTTTAAAAAACTTTTTTCCCATTTTATTGATTGGTAATATCTGAATTTCCGAGGTTTGATGTAAAATAAATCCCAAAGTTCATTTTGGGACATGACTTTGGATACAAGAGAACGTCATAGGGGCACAAGTTGACCTATCAGGTACCCCTCATAAAGACAGATATCTGACTCAAAAGAACATGTGGAAGGCTCAGAGAGGGTGCTGCAAGGTTATTTATACAATAGCACACTTCAAAGCTGATAAACATAGAAACAAAAAAGATAGGAGTGTCTTTTGGTCACAACCTGAAAGCATTAACAAGCTCCTTATTCTCCGGATCAAGCTTCACACCCTCGTAGAAAGAATTGGCTGCCTCATCAAACTTCTGCAAAAAAAAAACAGTAGATAATTAATAGCTGGCTTTAGTTTTGAATAATAACTCCACGAAGTACAACTTATGGAAAGTAAGATCATGCCTGCAATAAACGCAAAGCTGCGCCTTCCCGATAGCAAGCTTTTGGCCAATCTGGTCTTAGTACTCTGCAGGCCTTTGCATCAGCCAAGGCATGATCTGCTTGCCCCAGACGAATCCAACAAAGACTTCTATTGGAAAGAAAAGTAGCATCAGTGGGGTCGAAATCAGTTGCCTGTAATCCATCAACATAAAACAAACTTGTTACATGTCATAGAACTTTTGTTTGATAAATACATGCTTACCTAATAATTAATCACAAGAAGTTCCTTAGCATTTGTGGTGCAAGTGCAACATTTATGCAAACTATGGATTGGGCAAAACAAAGAAACAAAGAGAATGCTGTGAGGGATGCTCCCAACCACCCCCCCCCCCCCACACCCCCCCCCAAAAAAAAAATATGCAGTGCACATGGCTCCCACCTATACTGGGCCTAGGAAAGGTAAGCAATAGGCAGCTACAAAACACATATGCTTGTAAACTGGGGCAATATTTGTATCCACTACATATCCAATATGGATACCCATTCGTTATGACAGGATACTATCAGATACGCCCGTACATACCCGAGAAGCAATAGAATCGATTTTTGTTCTTGGATACAAGTAGGATGCGACAGGATATGAAAGGATATGCCTCATATCCTTTCATAAGGCCAACTGGATGAAAAATAAAAAAACTCATATATGTAAGGCCAACTGGATTTCTGTTGAGACCACACAACTCCTCTCTGTCTCTCTTTTTAACTCCTCGTTACTGTTCCCTGCTATAATTGGGGATCATACCAACCCAAATCTTCTCTCTCCCCCCTCTCTCCCTCTCAGCAAGCACTTTCCACTTGTGATTAGGGTTCATATACCCTCGGATTTTATTCCTCCTTCGCACAAAAGTAGTCCATGACAAAGAATTGGAGATTGGAGGTTCTCGGAAGGTAAGCATCCTTCAATTCCTAATCTCTCTCTTCCCTAGACTCTCTCCGAAACCCTTTCTACAATGAAGACAAGCGATCCGGCTGCAAGAGTCATCACCGTCATCAGTGGAGACAATTTCAAGCACTTCGGTTTGATTGAATAAGGGGTTATCTATGCATGGTTTCATGTTTCAATCATGCAAATCTATTTTGAACTGTCTAGGGTGCTACCCACTGGTGATTTAGACCCCATCCTTCGCATTATTTAAGATTCTTATGTGGGTTTCTTAGTTCCATATTGACAAAATCATTCTTTTGTCCTTATTATATATTTCCAGCGTAAGTAACTTAACCATTACTTAAGGATCAAAATTTAGTTTCGGTACATTATTTCGGTCACTTAAAAACTGAAAACGTTTCGAGATGTTTGTTTCGATCCGTTTCGAAAACATTATGAAAAATAATAAAATTTAAGAATTATTTTTTCAAAACATTGGTCGAAATATATCAAAAAATCTTGAAATACTTTGAAATATTCTTAAATAATTGTGCACATACATTGAAATATTACAAAATATTTTGAAGAATTATAGAACATCTCGAAATATTAGAATTTCGATTCCATCACTGATTCGTTTCGGTCTCCTTGGAAATGGAAACGTTTCGGATGTTTTGACCATTTCGAAACGATATTTTGATCCTTGCCATTACTTTACTGCTACATATAGTTAAAAAATTATCTGAAGTATCCTGGACAGCTCGCATCCTTTTGTTTTTTTAACTTTTTGTTGTACCATCGTATTTGTATCGTGACATACCTATATCCCATATTCGTATCTCTACTTGCTAGGTCGACAGTATCATACCCTCAGTTTGGAGACCACAAATCCGCACCGGTTCGCAACTCACTTGAGTGGAAACACTTGCCATGAACAGAGAGTTTTTAGGAACTTGCATCAATCTGTCACATCTTCCTCGACAATTTTCTCCTTCAGCCTCCTCAATCAGGCACTTTGATCCTAGACACAACTACCAACTACCACGTCCTAGCAGCAGTAAGATGTCAGATCTCTGAAATTGAAGCACTTTCCCATGGGTCCACTAAATATTATATATATGATTCTCCTCCCAGTATTCAGATGCAATATACCTCTTCAAACAATGGCCAGATCTATTTTTAATATACTAATGAGGAAAAACAAGGTGATTGAGATAGTTCTACACATCAAAGCGTCAATGTTCAGGCTCCTCCAATTTTGCACCATCACTCGAAGCTTTTCATATTAGCTGTGAGATTTGTACAAGCAGGGTGACCATTTGGCAAATCAAAGTAATTCTGGATGCTAGACATCTGTTTTGTTGAGATTCTAATTATAATAGTTCCCACTACTCAATATCGAATGCCACCGAATTAACTCTTCAAGTAACAAGACAACTAAAATAAAAGCAAAAACCAATGGAATAGATTTAGGGTAAATTACACCAAGACTCCCTAAGGTTTGTCACTTAATCACCTAGATCTCCTCACGTTTGGAATATTACACCTACACCTGTTGAGGTTGACGATTAATTGACTGTGACAACGGAACCAAGGAAAAGACTTAAATGCCCCTAGATATTTCTGAAGTCCTTGGCGTCTAAAGTCCCAAGCGGATCAAAGATTACTTACTAGCTGTCATCTCCCACATCTCTCTCTACCTGGTACTGGCAACACGGAAAGAGGCTGTTGAGTGGATGTTGAGGGTTAAATGCCCACTGTGGGTTCACTGCCACAACTGCTGTTTTGGCTGTGAACTATTTTGATAGGTTCATATCAAACCTTTGCTTTCAAAGAGATAAGCCATGGATGAGTCAACTTGCTGCAGTTTTTAATTAGCTACCAAGGTGGAGGAGACCTAAGTGCCTCTTCTCTTGGAACCTACAAGTCGAGGACTCGAATTTGTGTTTGAGGCAAATACTATTCAGAGAATGGAGTTGTAGGTGCTCTCTAATCTTCAATGGAAGATGAATCCAGTAACCCCACTCTCATGGAGGAGACCCAAGTGCCTCTCCTCTTAAGCAGAATAAGAGGGTTTTTTTCCTTTTGTTTTACTGATTAGGAATCTGCACTGATTAGGCATAATTAGGGGTTTTATGACACAAAAAAGCAATTCAAAGTTGACACAAATTTAGTGGATTTTGGTTGACTATTTCTCGACACGAACCCATAAATAACACGACCTGTTAACACGAATAATAAATGAGTTGGGTTAGTATTAGACACGACTAACAAGAAATTAACACGTTTAATCAGTATTATATAATTAAAATAGCAATTTTTTATTATTTTTGATCAAGTATTTACATAATTCGTGTACATGACACGAAGCCGCCCGACATGACACAATTGACATCCCTAGGCGTAATAGAACTACAAAAAAAATACAAATTGTTAATAATTAATCCTTAACTTGTAAACAACAAAAAAGGGTAGAAAAAAAGAGAGAAGAAAACTCACTGTTACGTCAGTCAAAGTCACTTGCTGTCTAATTAATTTACAGTGGGCCCACAGATTGAAGGATAATATAGGAATTATATTTGTTTATTAGGATGACATCACGAATTTTTAACGGTAACATTAACAGACATGGATGACCGGATTGATGTGTTACACGCGCACAAACCTTAAGGGGTGTAGGTGTAATATTCTAAATATGTGGGGGTCTAGATGATTAAGTGACAAATCTCATGGAAACTAGATGTAATTTACCCATAGATTTAAGTACCTGTGTATAAGCATCTACAGCCATCAAATAGTCCATCTGTTTGAAAGCATCATCTCCCCTTGCCTTCGCTTCGGCAGCTTTCTTCTTTGCCTCAGGAGTCACCTGAAAAAGTTATAAGAAATTTATGTGATAGTCAAATGTAAAATACATTATATTTTCGGATTTTCCACACTATGTAAGGGTGAATTACTGTAGTCATAATTGTATACTTTCAAAGCGACAGAGAACCATAATATTCATTGTTAGCTAAATAAATACTATTCAGATCAATGTGCTATCAAATTGCATTACTAGTGAAATAAATACTTCAGCTCATTATCTCCAAAATAGATATTTGCCCTACTTTATCCTGAAGCCTATGCACTTAACCACCCAAGTCAGCTCAATAAAACTGCTATACCTTGATGAGAATGTTACCAATTAGATTTCAGTGAATAGCTGATACGATAAATACACCCTCAAATCTACGTCATACATTTGGTATCATGTAGTCCCACCCAGCTGACAATAAATCCAAAACTATTAGTCTATTACCGAAGCAATGTTTGGCATCTGAAATGTATTATATAAATGGAATTGAAGAAAATTAAGTTCCAACTTTGAATCTAATTTTTATATGATTTTTCCAAATGCCACAAAAAAATTGTTAAAATTGGCTTCTTTCTAACATATCAAAAGCCTGGTCAGTAGTGCTCGATCTGATGCTTTCAATAGCGACCGCATAGAAAGAAGTAGAAGCAATAGGAAAATAAAAATTCTCACTCCTCAAGCAAACACCGGGTGTTCAGAAACGGGATCTTTCAAGATACATGGGCAGAAGCATAGAAGAATCAACCAGTGATCAACATGATAAAAAATGTCACCTCGGGAATATCTGGCTTTGGAATGGTGTTATCTTTTAGCATGTTGACTTCCTTCAGATTTCTGGTTTCTTCCTGCAACAATCGCACTTCAAGATAAACATGGAATGTGGAAACGCTCTTCGGAAGACAAAGAAGTCAAATGATAATAACACCACCAATAATAAGAAAAACCATGAGATCATAGTTGGTTTTGGTGTTATTTTCAGTAGTGAGTGGCATATACAACGGGGTTGATGTAAACGTGATCGAAACCATACTTAATCAACGCTAAAGCCCGTGTATATCAATGGAGAAGACCCTGGATTGGATCTATCCCAAACTTTTCACTTTAGCATTCGGGAAGAAATTTGGAAAAAGTTCAGCCAGCTCTGTGCTGTGGATAGCCTATCCAAATGGTCTAAACTATTAAAAGTGGCACATCTGGAAATCTGTCCATTGAAAAACCTTACCTTCACAAAATATCATTATGCTTGATGAAACAGATACTATCATATCAGCATCAAAGGGGACAAAACTAAATTAATAGTGTCTTCGGCATCAAATAGTTGAATAACTTATCTCGCGAGGTTTCGAATAGCTTATTCAATTCATAAAAAAAAAAAAGAAAAAAAGGAATACCTGTTTACTGCCAGTTTCAGATTGCATATGTTCAATTATTCCATCAACAGTCCACTCTTGGACACTTTTAACTTGCGATGTCAAAGGGAAAAGAATCTCAACAGCCCCTCGATTACCTCTTGCTGCCGCAACCTGTATAGGCTTTATACCATCCTGTATTATGAAAAAATTTCATGATTGATTCCAGAAGATAACTTGAGTGACAGAAACGCAGAGATGCATTACCATTCACTGGAGTTATGCTCCCTATATGACAACAAAATATCTATAGGAGTTTAATTGAGCAACCATACACAGCCATGTGTAAATATGCTTCATGATAGTGCTTGACTGAAGAAATGTATTTTAAAGTGCTCATTTAGATATATTCTACCACAGGAAAATAACATAAATATAGTTTCATTTCATTTTATTACCAGTGAAGGAAGAGTAACCCAAAACTATAAGGTTAAACAATAAAGCATAGTTGTAACAGTAGACCACTACAAATGCAGGCATCTTGAAAGTTTTGCTACACACAAGAGAACTGATCAAGTCCATATACCATGTCAACAGGCACTTACAGGAGAGACAAATACCAGTATTGTATCACAACAAAAAAGCACCAAAAATGTAAAGATAACACATGCTTTTTGGAGGAACTTTATAGGTTTAAATCCCTCAGATACACAAGAATAGAAAATGTTTATGCATCCAATAGCCGCTCCCCCCCCCCCCCCCAAAAAAAAAAAAAAAAAAAACCTTCTTTTTGTCCAACCACCACCAGAGATCAAAAAGAGAACAGAAGAAGCACAATAGGAGCAGAGGTAAGGAAGAAGAGGATAATAATTCTTCCTGTCTATTTCTTTTGCTTATTTTGGGTCCTCCCATGCTTTTCTCTTAACTTCTCTTCCATCATCTCTTTTATTTCTTCATGTTCTCATGTTGGTGTTGAAGGAATTCGAAGATGAAAAGAGTTGCCTTGTTCAGATTCTGCCACTATAGTACAAAGTAATCATTTCTCATCAAGGAAAGAGAAAAATGAAAAGAAGGGGGGGTACTCTTCAGTATTTGCCCCATCATAACTCTAAACAATGGTATATTGTATACATGTGCATACTATAATGTTTTGATAGTTCTTTGAGTTTGGTATTATATATGTTGGTATTCATTAATTTTGATAGGGACCATATGCATAAGGTTAAGTTAATTAAGTATGATTATAGTAAGATTAAGACTTGATTAACGACACTCAATTACACTTAGGTAGTAATTACTTAATATGATTAAGGACCCTAATCATATGGATTAACTTAAGTTAATCAACTTTAGAAGTGTCTAATTAAAAGATTACCCTAGTTAATCAAGCCACCATTGTTGACTTTTTTGAGTTTGTGTGAGTTTGTGTAGAGTAAGAGAGAGAAAGTGCTAAGTGAAGACACCTCAAGAGAGAGAAAGGTCTAAACAACACAAGTGTCTCACCTATACATATATATGTAAATATATGTGTCTTGTAATTATATAGATATATCATATGATTAAAGAAAGAGAAAAGAGGAGCTGGTGTAGAAAATGAGAGGAGTAAGAGAAAACAAGGAAGAAAAGAGAGGGAAAATTCAAGAAAGTAATTTAGGACTTGGAATTACTCTCCAACAAGGTATGATTCTTGGCTTTACATATGTATTCATTACTTTAATCGAAAAGAATTAGTTAATAACAACAAAGAAAAGGGGAAGAAATATGTTCTAGTTAGTTCAATTATAAGGCTATGAGTATTTCACAAGATATGAACCCTAGAATTTTGTTAATGACGGAGTTTAAACACTTTTCGGAATTTCTAGAAACTTTGGAGACCAGGTTCAGAGTCATCTATATGAGTTACAATTGGTTGATAATTTTTAAACTTTGAGGCTTTCAAATAGGTTATTAAAGGGTTATTTTGGCACTGGTTTCATGCAAAAAGGATGGAAACTCAAATTTTGGGAAATTTCTAGAGTTGACCCTGACCTGTTGAAACAAAGTTTATGTTCAATTTTATAAGTTATTTTGAGCATGTAGTTGATCTCCAAAAATAGTATTTTTTTGTGAAAATGAAATTCTTTGAGTCTACTTTTAATTTCCACTGGCCTTGTGAAATTTCAGTTTAGATATGATGCTTTATGTTAGAATATATAGAGTGGCATTTATGTAATAAGTATATCCCAAGGAGGATATAGAAGTCTTTAGTAGTCATATTGAGATACATATATATATGAGTTGAAAGGGAAGGTCAGTTAACTCTCTCTCTCTCTCTCTCTCTCTCTCTCTCTCTCTCTCTCTCTCTACATTTACATGGTATCAAAGCAAGGTCTTTAGGGTTTGTCCTTGCCTCTCCTTTCTCTCTCTGGTATGTAATAATATAAATAAATAAATATATATATATACATATATGCGCACACACACAATGTGTTGTCAAAGTTGACAAAGTTCATCTCTTGTTGATGGAGTTAATGTTCTGTTGATGAAGTTGACGAGTTCAAGTAGTTCTTGCTTGATTCGAGTGGTGTTGATGCTTGTAGTGCATCGTTGCTGATCGTGGTTTCGGCGTCGGTTGGATTTGGGTTGTTAATTGTGTCTTTGTGCCGATGGCATTTGTCTCATCGTTGTAATCTCAGTGTGGCTCTGGTGGTGTCGTTGGATTGTCGAGTGGTGTTGTTGGCAGAGTTGTGCTTGTTTCAGTGCTGCTGGTGGCGGTGATGTTCATTGCCCTAATCATAGTTAGTGTGAAGGGGAAGTCCCCTGTTTGGCAACTTGTTTGGGTTAACTCCAGTCTAGCTATTCCTATTCCTCAATTAGATAAGGAAACTGGGTTTGGCCCAGTCTAGCAGCCAGCAGCCCAGATAGACAAGATCCAATCCAGAAGCCCAGTTAGGCGTCCAGTTGATCCAGCCCACTCAATCGGTTATTCCACTAAACCGGTCCATCTCAACTATGCTCCCCGGTTTGGTTCGGTTCAAACAGCTTCCCAGTCGGTTCAGGTATTTTCCCACCCTGTTCAGGCACCCACTGTGTTATCCAGTCCAGTTCAGGGTGGTTCCATGTTGTTTACCACCGGTTCAGCAACCTTCACGCCAGTTCTGCTTTGGTCTCAGGCAGTTCAGCCACTCTCAGGCTGATTTTGTTGTGTTTACCACTGGTCCAGCCATCCTCAGGCCAACCCTACCCTGGTTCCAGGCAGTTCAGCAGTCCAGTTCGATCCCTCTTGGATTTTCTTTCTACCAGCTGGTCTTCTGGCCTTATTGTCTCCCATTATGGATCAAAAGGTAGATACTGTGCCTCTCACTACTAGTCTTGCTCCCATTGTCTCTGTTCCTCCACCCAATTTTTCTACTGCCTCTTCTTTAATGCTCCTATGACATCTGTCAAATTAAATTGGAGTAATTATGTGTTGTGGGCATGGTCTGTCGCTATTTTTCTTGAGGGTAAAAGGCTTCGTAGCCACTTGGTAGACAATAAGCCTGCCGACAATGATTTTGGTTTTAAACAATCGGAATAGGAAGATGGGCAGATTATTTCTCTTTTATTGACTAGTATTGAACCTCACATCAGTTCTTCTTTATTTTATTTGGATACTGCCAAAGAAATTTGGGATCGTCTGATTCACATGTACTCTGGTACTAGTAATGATACTCGTATTTATTAGGCATGCCAACAGTATTTTAGCCTTGACTGGGTAGGGTAGCTTGACTCTGCAAGAGTACTTTTCTAAGGTTATGGGCATCTTTGAAGAACGTGAATTGTATCAGCCTATTACTTCTAATGTTTCAAAGATGGAAAAACAACGTGATGATGTTGATGTTGTCCTTTTTTTGACTGGGTTGCAGTCTGACTATGAGCCTAGTCGTGCATAGAATTTGGGCAGCCCTCAGCTTCCTTTTCTTCCAGATGTGTTCTCTCACCTTCAATGTGCTACCCTCTCCCATGCCACATCTCAATCGAGTACTGATCCCAGCAGTGATCACTCAGCTTTAGTGGTCTCTCAGCATAGTTCTGGTAGCTAGTGGTGTAGTGGTGTTGGACAGAACTTAAAGGAAGTGCGTGAGCCCATCCTAGAAGAGTCTCATATGAGCCCAACAGAACTTAATGGGCTAAGTAAAGAAGGAGGCACCACCATTAACATGATCAGTGAAGAAGTTGGGCAGCAAAATTTTCAAGTGATGCAAGGGCTAGATAACAACCCGGCCCAGATAAAGGAATCAGCAAGCTCCACTGGCCCAACCACTCCAGCCCCAATCCAGAATAGAGCGCATTCTGGACACTTGTATGGCAAGAGTCTTCCAAAGGATGTCCTTGAAGAGACATATGCAGGATGAGTATAAGGAAAACCGACCTGTCAAAGTAATCAGAAGGGAGGAGGGGATGTTATCAATTATTCCAAATCAACTGCAGATTATGTCAACAGATACAGAAACCATGGCTCAGCAATCATAAGTCTTGTGGATAAAAGCTGTGAAGTAATGGGGAATGCTGAAAACAAATAAGAAAGCAGGGCAACTGAACTGGAGCAACTGGGGTATAGTGGGAGTCGAAAGAGATGCAGGTTTCAGAGAGAGAGGTTAGCAAAACAGCATTTGACTGGCGGTGATCAGAATTTGCATGAAGTGTCTGTAGAATGGAATGAAGATGTGACAATTATGGCTGAGGAGTGGAGCCTTACCATACCCCCAATCTCCCCATGAAACTAATAGTATGGAACTGTCAAGGATTGGGGACTTCCTTGACAGTTCTAGCTTTATAGGACCTATGAGTCCTACATAAACCGCAGCTAGTATGTTTGAGTGAAACAAAGATGTGCAGATTTGGGATTGAGAGAATCAGGAAACGATTGCGTTTTGAGAAGAAAATTGTGGTGGAATCCAGAGGTTTATATGGAGGGTAATGTATCATGTGGAATGGGGAAACAAACCTTGCAGTTGAAGCATACAGTCAGAATCATATTGCTGTTGTTTTTTCTGGGGTAGGGAGTTTGGGTCCATGGCATATGACCTTTGTTTATGGTCATCTAGAGTATGAAGATAGGTGTATATAGTGGGACAGATTGAAGGCCTTTGAGAAATGTGTAACTATTCCTTGGTTATGCGGTAGAGACTTCAATGATATTGTGGCGATGACTGAGAAGTTTGGAGGAAGGGATAGAGAGAATAGAAAAAAAAAGTTTCAGAGAGCAGTCAGATGATGCACAGCTTCTGGACTTGGAAAATAAGGGGTGTAGGTTTACATGGGATAATCATAGAGAAGTAAAAAATATAAGGGAAAGATTAGACATAGCTTTAGCTAGCCCAGAATGGGGAATAGCTTTCCCAGATGCGATGATTTATGCCTCTCTTGCGATTGGATCAGATCATTCCCCTTTGATTCTTGATACCACCCCTTGTTATGGCAGATCAAAAAAACCTTTTAGATTTGAGGCTTTTTTGGTAGATGAGGAAGAGTGCAAAGTAGTAGCAGCACAGAGTTGGAGGAGTAGGTCACAGGAGTCCAGAATGTATCAGCTTAAGCAGAAAATTAAAGTATGTTCCCAGGATTTGAAGAGTTGGAGTTTGTCCCATTTCCAACATAGAGGAAGAAAGCAAGATTAGTAGAATTACACAATGATACTACTGGAGAGGCACAGATGAATGAGGCTTTAGAACTCAGGAAGGAGATAGAGAAGTTGTGAAAGAGGGAGGAGAAGTACTGGGGACAAAGATCTAGGCCGAGGTGGCTAAAGTGGGGGGACAAAAATACAAAGTTTTTTCATGCAACAACTGTACAGAGGAGACATATAAATAAAATTTCTATGTTAAACGTAGGGGAGAATGAATGGGTGACAGACCAGGAACAGATCTACCAGGTTATTGGGAAACATTTCCAAAATACTTTTTTCACTGAAGGAGAGAGATTATGATATTTACTCCAACACATCCCCCAGGTGTTAACCACAGAGATGAACCAGGCTATGGTGATGACCCAAATATAGAGGAGGTAAGAGCTGCAGTTTTTAGTTTAGGAGCTTTAAAAGCTCCAGGGCCTGATGGTTTGTCTGGAGTGTCTTATCAAAAGTACTGGAACATTGTTCAGAGTGATGTTCATTTGGCTGTCCAGGCTTTTTTTCACTCAGGCTACATGTTAAGAGAACTGAATGATACAAATATTACTCTTGTTCCTAAGGTTCAATTCCTAGTGGAGATTGGAGAATATAGACTTATAACGTGTAGCAATTTTATATATAAAATGATATCGAAGATTATGGCTACAAGACTTGAGCAACATATGCCGCAACTGGTGTCTCAGAATCAAAGTGCTTTTGTGGGAGGGCACAGGAGGTAATGCTATCATTGAGATAGAGAAGAGGAACCAGAAAGTAATTGGATATGGCAAAAGCTGATGGATTTCGAGCCATCAGAGTTCTACCAACAAGAGGTTTAAGGCAAGGTGACCCTCTGTCATCATACCTATTTATCCTGGTAATGGAATGCCTCACAAGACCCATAGATAGAGCAATGGTGAGCAATCAATTGGGAGCAGTACAACTTTGCAGGAATGGCCCTAAACTACCTCATTTACTTTTTGCTGATGACTCCATTTTTTTCTCTACAGCTCCGATGAAAGACTGTCAGACACTAACTGATGTTCTAAGCAGGTACTGTTATGCTACTGGACAGATTATCAACTTAAACAAGTATGGAGTGCAGTTCAGCAGAAATACTCCAATGTATATGCAGCAGGAGCTAGCACATTTTATGATAATCCCCTTATTGAGAAACACAGGGAGGTACTTGGGCTTGTCAAGTGAATGGGGAAGATCAAAGAAGCAAACATTAACAAGGTTAAAAGAGAGAATCCTGGGTACAATAGCAGGCTGGAAAGAGAAATTTTTAAACCATGCAGGTAGAGAGACTCTACTAAAGGCTGTTATACAGGCCATCCCAGCGTATGCAATGGCCTTTTTTAAGCTCCCAAGCAAATTGTGTCAAGAGATTACTACTTGTGTCTCTAGATTCTGGTGAATAAAAGTAATGGGGAGAGAGGTATACACTAGAAGTGTTGGAACACTACGACAAAAAGCAAGAAGGAAGGGGGACTGGGGTTTAGGGAGACAGAAAAGTTTAACAAAGCTATTTTAGTAAAACAGGCACGGAGACTATACCAAGAGTGTGATACAAAGTGGGGCAGGGTTTTGAAGGAAATGTACTTTCCTAACACTACACTTTGGCAAGCTAAACCAAAGGCAAATTGTTCGTGGATTTGGAGAAGTTTGTTAGAAGGCAAGGATTTATTGGCCAAGGGTATCATATGGAGTGTAGGGGATGGCAATAAAATTAATGTTTGGGATGATCAACGGATCCTAGGTTTTAGAAATGTGGCAAACTCTTTACAAAGTGACATCAGAACAGTCCATGAACTTATCTGTACAACTACAAAGAGGTGGAATGTGGATCTGGTGAGAGATACTTCCCCAGAAGAGATAGCCATGTCCATTCTTACCATTCCACTGCCTCAGACAACTCAAGAAGATCAGATTAAATGGGCTCATACGCCAAATGGTAAATACACTGTCTAGAGTGGATATCTTATGGAGATGCAGCTTAATGGATCCCAGCCCAGTAGAGCACAAGCATCATCATTTTTCACACCCAAAGATAACTTCAGGAAGGAAATATGGAAAGCTGAAGCTCCACCAAAAATTAAGTCCTTTCTTTGGAAGGTGGCAGCTGGAGCTATAGCAACAAGGAGTAATCAATGGCGAAGAAAGGCTATCCAAAACCCCGTACGTCCTGTATGTGGGGAGGAAGAGGAGACAGCAGAGCATGTATTTCTTTTATGTCCATGGGTTTCTAGGATGTGGTATGAATCCCCTTTTGGGATTGTTATTGACAAACAGAGGGTGACTAGGATTGAGACTTGGCTGCTGGATCACTTACACAATGGACAACCTTTGTTGGTCTACGTTATGCAGTTTATCTGGAAAGCAAGAAATAAGTGGTGCTCTAGACACCAAACAGTGAATAACAGGAGTGTAATAAAGCAAGCTGAACTGGCTATTGTGGAGTTTCAACAGGCGAAAGAGACTTCAGCTTCCATTCATCAGAATGAAACAGTGATAACAACATGGATGGCTCCTCCTAGGGGCTCAATTAAGATCAACTATGATGGAGCTTTTTTGACTAAGGCTAGGAGGGGAGCATTTGTGGTGGTGTGGTGGCTCATGATCATACAGAAAGATTATTAGCTGGAAATGCAGGAACAATGCATGTTGCTTCTCCTCTGGTATCTGAAGCCCGGGCAGTAACGGATGCATGTAATCTGGCAACTGCTGAAGGATGGGATTCAGTCATTATTGAAAGTGATTCACAAGTGCTTCTGAGCTCTCCTTCAAAAGGCCAAACTCATCCTTTGAGAGAAGTGGAAGCAATCCAGAAGGATATAAGGCAATATGTTGAGCAGCGCTCATCAATTCAGTTTAAAGCAATTCGTCACTCAGCCAACCAGTTGGCTCATCCGATAGCTGCTCAGACGAAGAAAGGGAATCTTCCCATAAACTGGGTTACAAATCCTTCAATGCAAGTTATGCAGTTGATCCAGAAGGAGACTAGAGAAGGCATAGGATAGTTGACATGTATGCCTTTTCCTTCTAAAAAAATTCTGCTTTTGAATGACCAAAAAAAATAAGATCCACAAGACCTCCCCAATACTGGGAAGAAAACGTACGGCAATAAACCATAACATTCAAAATTCAGAAAAATGAAAGTAGGGAGCATACACAAATACATGTATCCACAGTAGAATAATATGTAACCCACAGAAGAGCATACACAATCAAGACCTTAACAGAATGTGGCAGTATTGATGGGGTGAAATGCCTAAAATTATTAAAAAAATAGTGGAGCAGTTTCCACTGGGCAAACATTTATCGCATATCAAAAAGAGAAACCTTCGAGAGAAAGAAGTTGATTTTCAAAGCCTCACCTCATCAGTGACATTGGGATCACCTCCGGCTTTTAATATGCAGTTAATAATATCAATGCTACCATTATCAGCAGCAATGTGCAAAGGGGTTGCTCCACCTGCAATAACATTCACATCAGCACCTGCCTGCACCAAAAAAGAAGAAAAGTTAGAGCTTCAGGTAAACTGATGGCATACTTGTTAGGGGAAATAAGAGCAAGAAAGAAAAGATAACTAGACCAACAGCAGAAACTTCAAGAAGTGAAAAATAAAAAAACTAGATATTCACATAAATGCATGCCCACAGATGCTTCAACAATTGTGCAACCCACACTTGCCATGCCATGGATACTAACAGCAATAAGAACATCAAAGAACCTCGTCAGAAAATAAATGATCTCTTTGGCTCTTCCAAAGAGATGAATTCAATTAATTATCTTCAACTAAGTCTAATGAATACAGCTCAACAATAGATGCCAACCAAAGACATGAAATACATACACATTTCTGTTGTCCTACTAGAACAACTCACTTCTATGGGTTAATATACCATTTAGGCAAAAATACCTATAGTGAACATAAAAAGTTTAATTTGTAAAGACACTCTGAATCACTCTTATTACAAGAGACAAAATTGAAATACCAAATCTCAGTAGTAGTCTATCAAGGATGGATGTATTCTAATATGAAAGAGCCATGATCTCACATGAAAATTAACCACATACCAGCCAAAAAGAGTAACAGTCAATGTTAATTCTTGATTAGAGTAAATTAAGGTACTTATAGATTGAAAGAATGATTTTGCCAGGAAATCCTCTCATTGAAAAGGAAGCGTTAAGGAGGGAGAAAAAGTAACAATATTTCTTTGCAAGCTTATGTGATTAAGGGTGAATAAAGAGTTAGAGATGGATGATAACTAAGTAGCACATGAAAAAACAAGAGATTTGACAATCAATGTTCATAAAAAATCTCACAACGCCACATAATTTTAACATGTAATAAACAGAACCAAGTTTGACAAATTTTAGACCATAATATTGCTTCCAGCAACTCATTTCAGGTAACCCAAAATACATAAATAATAAAAACCACAAAATTCTATTAGACCAACAAATTAAGTCAGTAATCCACAAACCACTTACTGATGCCTAAAAACGCCAACTTTGGCCAAACAGTTAAACATCAATTGATTTCAATTAAAAAAGCCTCATCCCAAGAGGTACCAGAAAATGTAAACATCCAAGTGAATTGTGTGTTGGAGCAAGAATTCCCAAGTTCTTCTTTTCCTGAAAGCTAAATTTTACAATATGAAAGTAACAAGAATATTTGAGGGTGATACATTTTGTAGGTAAATGGAAAGATAGTGGATAATAAATATGCATAATAGTCATTGTGTCCCTTAGCATCGACTTTTCAATGAAAACCTTCCTCATATAAGCAATTCCCACCACAATTCATACTTATGTGATGCATAGGAGCCCATCCCAGGGTACTGCATTGTAGAGTATTTAATGTTGTATGACTGTTTGCCATACAATGTATTGTAGATCTATTTTTCTCTTTATTTTCTTGTGATGCATATAGAACTTAACCTAAATAAATGGAAGATCAAACAAAATTAATTCCATAAAGAAATTTGGAGAATATGATAATAGGTAAATTCCTCATGTCCGACTATCAACATATATCCAATGGCCCTATGCAGTGTTTTGAAAAGCTCGCCTAGGCGATAAGCGAGGTGAAGCAAGGTCACGTCGCCTTGAGGATCCCAGGCACAGCGAATGTGACTGAAGCGAGAAAAAAAACGAAAAAAGTGAGCGCCTTGAGATTAAGCGAAAGGCGAAAAAGCGAGCGCCTTAGTTATGCGAGGCGATGTAGTCTTTTATTTTTATTGTGGACCGTTGGATTGTTTTATTTTTATTGTGGACCGTTGAATTGGAGCAATTGAAAAAAAAATTATAAGACGCTAATACACTCAATTATCCCCTTATCCCATAAACATAAAACCCAAACCCTAATTTTTAGGATCGGACGATCGCCGCTACTGCTGCTCCTTCCTCTCTGGTCAGACAATCGACTGTTGGCTCATCGTTGTTCCTTGCTCGCTGGTCAGAGATGAACACTGCTGCTACTTCTCCTTCCTCGTTGGTCAAGATTTGTCTCCTCTTTTTCTTCTCTCTTTTGTTTCTCTTCTTCCTCTCTAGTTCCTCTTTTTTTCTGTTTCTTCTTTCTGGTTCTTCTTTTTTGTTCTAATTCTTTTTTTTTCTGCCTTTTTTTCTAGTTCTTTTTTCTTCTGCTGCTACTTTTTTTTCTGGTTTTTTTTGCTTCTGTTTTTTTTTTCTTCTTTCTGGTTCTAATTCTGTTTCTTTTTTTTTTATTCTGTTTTTTTTTTGCTTTTTCTTTGATAATGAATGTTGCTTCTTTGTAAGTCTGATTTTCTGATTTTGATTCTATTTTCTGATTTTCAGCTGATGATTTTGATTTTCTGATGCTTCTTTTTCTGTTTCTGCTTCTTTAATGATGAATGCTGATGATTCTAATTTTTTAATAATGTTGCTTCTTTATTGGTTGTATAGCTGATGATTCTGATTTTCTAATGTTGCTTCTTTGTATACCTGATGATTCTTTAACGCTGATTTTCAAATGTATAGCACTTCTTTAATGCTGTTTTTTTGTAATCCTGATGTTGAATGTTGTAATGCTAAATGCTATAATGTTGAGTGCTGATTTTGCTGATAGTGTTGTAATGTTGAATGTTGATAGTGCTGATTTTTTTATTCTGATTTTAAATTTTTATGGTTTTACTTGCATTAAATATTTAGTATTTATAAAATTAGAACTTAGATGTGTAGAAGTAATTAAACTAAAATATTTACTTTTTTTTTTAATTGGTCACTTCGCTTTAGTAAAGCGTTTTGTTTACTTCTCGCTTCTCACCTAAGTTTTAGAAGCCTTGATCGCTTCGATTCGCTATACACCTTAAATAACACTGGCCCTACGTATGCACCATGTTAAGAGTGTAATTATATTTATTTATCATTAATGATAGTCTAGTTTTTTCCTTATTGTAGGGTTCCTTATATATTGTCTCTTGTACTCACTTTTTATTATTATGATTATGAATATTAGAGGGTCACATATGATTTTTCTCTTCTATTACCTTCTCTACGTGTGAACTCTTTTCTTTGCACTAGTTGATCTGTGTTTTCAGAGTTTCAGAGCAATGTTTCTTCTCTCTTTCTTGGGTTTTAGTTGAAATGAAATTAGCATGAAGTTCATGAAAAGTGAACAGTGCGTGTGAATAGTGATCGTGAATAGTATTAAGTGTTTTTGTTAACAGGTGCATGTGGCTAGGGTTTTGGTTAGATGTTTTGAAATTACAAAATCTGCCCTAGAATGTGCTGAATTTATAGAACCTGCCCGAGGATATTCTAAAATTATAGAAACAACCCCCAAATTTTCAAAAATTACAAAAACTACTCACAATTTTCAAAAAATTATAGAATTGGCCCCCCTAATTTTCTACATTTTCAGCATCAACCCCAAATTTTCAAGTTACTTTAATCCTTGATTAAGATTGACCTCTATCATTTTACATATGATTATGGCAAGTGGGAATTCAACAATTACATCATATGTGAATGCTTTATATGTTCCTTCTCTTATAAGTTTGTCTTTGTCGACTCTTTTAGGTATATCTCGCTCCACTTGGGTATTTGATTCTGGTGCGACACATCGCATGACTAATGATCCATCTTTGTATCTTTCTACATCTCTTCCCTCCTCTACTACTGTTATGACTGCTAATGGTACTGCAATGTCATTGGGAGGCGTTGGATCTATAATGACTTCACTTTTATCTCTTCCTGATATTTATTTTATTACTCAATTATCTTTGAACTTAATTTCTGTTAGCCAACTATGTGATCTTAGTCTCCTTATTCATTTTTTCTCCTGTAGTTGTATTGTGCAGGATCCTCATTCTAAGAAACTATTTGAGATAGGTTGCAAAGTTGGAGGACTATATGTACTAGAAAAATTGCATGTTCCAGTTGTTGATGCTTTCTCTGTTGATTTATTTTCTTTCCATTTGAGTCCTAAGTCCTCTGGATTTTATTTATGACATTATCATCTCGGGCACATTTCTAGTTCTTGTTTGAAATTTTTAGTTTCTACTAGTGCATTTGGTGATTTAAATAGTCATATGATATTTCTGATTGTAGTGGTTGCAAACTTGTTAAATTCACAGCTTTACCTTTTAAGAATAGTTCTACTTCTTCTGTTCCTTTTGATCTTGTGCATTCTAATGTACGGAGTCCTACCCCTATTGCCACAAAGTGGGGTCGTGATATTATATTTCTTTTATTAATGATTATACTCGTTATTGTTGGATTTATCTCATAAAACAACAATCTGAATTTTTCTCTATTTTTTCTTCTTTTTGTGTCATGATTCACACACAAGATTCTTTAGTCATTAAATGTTTTCGCTGTGATTTTGGTGGGAAATACAGACACAACCATTTTCTTAACTTATTGGAATCTGAAGGTACTATTCGGCAGTTCTCTTATGCAGACACCCTTAAGCAGAATGTTGTGGATGAGCGAAAATACAGACACATCATGGAACTGATCGCTCATTGCTCTTATCTACGTTAGTTCCCACTTCTTTTTAGGGAGAGGTTGTTCTCCGTGTTGTTCATCTCATTAATTGGATTCCCACTATTATTACTACTAGTGTTTCACCTTTTGAGAAGCTATATGGTAAACCTCCTAACTATTTTTCTTTGTGTCTTTGGTTGTACTTGTTTTACACTTCTTCTAAAAGCTAAACGCAATAAGTTATCTACTTGTTCTGTTATGTGTATCTTTCTTGGTTATGGTGAGGGACAAAGAGGATATCATTGTTATGATCCTACTACCAGAAGATTGTATGCATCTAGGCACATAGTTTTTCTCGAGCATATTCCTTTCTTTTCCATTACTTCTGCTTCTAACTCCTTCAATAGATCTAAACTTGTATATATCCACCCCTTCCCTAATGATACTTCTAGTAATTCTAATAATCATGACATACTCACTTCTGATATTCATTCTTCGTCTCAATCTTCTATTTCAACTCATTCTCCATTGGTGCCTCTTCCTATTATTCACACATACTCTCGCAGGAACAACACTAACTCACATACTAGTACAGCTCCTTTACCTCTTTCAACTGCGTCTCCTTCGGCCTCTGATGTGGATCCTTCCTCTTCTCTCTATCCTAAGCGCATTCGTAAGTGTCCTATTCACTTTGATTTTTCTAACAATTATTATTCTTTTAATTTTTATTCATTTTTATCTTTCATTCATTCTTTGTCTAGACTACTTCCCATAAGGAGGCTGCTCTTGATCCTTTTTGACAGTAGGGTATGAATGAGGAACTTTCCGCACCGCATAAAATAGGGACATGGGATCTTGTGCCTTTACCTATTGGTGACCCTGTTACTAGTTGTCCGTGGGCATACAAGATTGAAACCAAAGCAGATGGTTCTATTGAAAGATATAGTCAGATTGGTTGTTAAAGGCTTTGCATAGGAATATGGAATAGATGATGAGGACACATTTCCTCCTGTTGCAAAGATGACTACTGTTCATACTTTAATTGTTGTAGCAACTATTCGCCAGTGAAAACTCTCTCAGACGGATGTCAAGAATGCTTTTTTGAACTGTGAATTGGCAAAAGAGGTTTATATGGTTCCTCCTCCGGGTCTCCCTCACATTTCAGGTGAGGTATATAAGCTCAGAAAAACTTTTTATGGTCTTAAACAGGCTCCTCAGACTTGGTTTGAGAAGTTCTCTACTATGATCTTTGACTTAGGTTTTCGTTCAAGTGATTACGATTCAACTATTTTCCTTCGTTCAACTTCCGCTAGTAAGATTATTCTCCTTTTATATGTTGATGATATGATTATTACCGGAGATGATTCTGATGACATTTCAATCTTGAAGGCTCAGGTACAATAGCAATGTGAGATGAAAGATCTTGGTCCCCTTCAATATTTTTTAAGCATTGAAGTGTATTTATCCCCAAAGGATTATCTTCTTTCTTAGTCAAAAATATGTAGCTGATGTTATCCACAGGGCCCGTATAATAGATTCTCAAACTGTTGAAACTCCTCTCGAACTTAATGTGCACTATACTTCTATTGATAGAGTCCCTTTGGTTGATCCTACTTTGTATCAGGATCTTGTTGGCAGTCTAGTCTATCTCACAGTTACACGACCTAATATAGCAGATGTTGTTCATGTTGTGAATCAATTTGTCTCTTCTCCAAGTATAGTATACTAGGTTGCAGTTCTTCGCATTTTACACTATCTTAAAGGCACTTTACATCAAAGTATGTTGTTTTCTTCCACTTCTGCTATGGAGCTTCGTGTTTTTCCTGATGCTGATTGGGCAGGTGATGTCATGGATCGTAAATCCACCACTGGTCTCTATATCTTTTTGGTGATTCTCTTATTTTGTGGAGGAGCAAGAAGCAGACCGATGTTGCTTGTCAATCTAGGTGTTTTCTTTTCTAGTCCTACTCCTATGTATTGTGACAACAAAAGTGTCGTTGAGATTGCCCACAACTTTATTTTCTATGAGCGAACGAAGAATATTGAAATCGACTGTCACTTTGTGTGTCACCATGTTCAGCTTGAGACTATTTCTTACCTTTTGTTTCTTCCACTATACAATTAGTTGACTTCTTCACGAAGTTTCACACCATTCCACGTTTTCGTTTTCTTCTTGAAAAACGACTGATACTTTCTACCGTCACATCATGAGTTTGAGAGGGAGTATTAAGAGTGTAATTATATTTATTTATCACTAAGGGTAGTCTAGTCTTTTCCTTATTATAGGGTTCCTTATATATTGTCTCTTGTACTCACTTTTTATTGTTATGAATATTAGAGTGGCGCATATGATTTTTCTCTTCTTCTATCCTCTCTACGTGTGAACTCTTTTCTTTGCACTAGTTAATCGATGTTTTCACACCAAAGTAAGTGATTGCACAAAAAGAAAAAGCAGTTGCATTTTTAAGTAATTCTGTTACATAAAAATCATCAGTACAAAATCCAAGCAAATAAACAAACTTCGTAGCTGCAGTATACAGGACTCAGCCATCTAGTGAACAATTGTAATACCACAGAGTATCAATTTTATTACTTGACCTGAATCAACTGTTCTAAGCATGCCAATGATCCCGCCGCTACAGCTGATAACAAGGGAGTGATATTATCATCAGTTTCAGCATTAGGCTGCAAAACAATTAAGACAAATCAGTATATACACCAATAATGCAACTAGCCTCACGACAAAAAAAATATTTCTATGTTTGTTATCAAATGAACTCCTGTTAGAAGAATGGCAAAGCAAAAAAAAAATGATTGTCATATATTGCATTAAGCCTCATAAAAGACAGGGATGAGTAACCATTATCCACACTAAACTACATTATCTGAAGTGTGAACATTTTGCATATCAGTATTCTCATATTCATGGGCTAAGCATCCTCTATATTTCATATTTGGACAACAGTGAATGCACATATATGGATCTCCCTCTCTCTCTCTCACACACACCCAAACAGGAGGTATGTGGAGCTCTTTGAGCATCCATAAGCATCTCGAGCATGTACATTAAAAAAAAATGTACATGTGTCTAAGGAATAGCCATTGGAGACCTGAACTCAAGACCTCTAGCTCCTTGGAGTGGACTTCTTGCTATATTGTCTACCCTTGAGGTCGACTGCTGATACACACCAAGCAGAAGTTGAGATGCAGATCAAAAAGGAAAAAAAGAACAGAAGATCAGAAAAGAGAAGAAGAATAAGATGAAGAACAGGTTTACCAAAATCTCTCAAGGATTAAGTCAAGAGAAAGACAATGAATCGATCATATTCTCAACAAAGTTCACATGCTAATAAAAATAGGGATTGCATCAGTTTTTTACTCAAACATTCTACCAAAACTCATACTACTTTCCTAATAAAGGTTTTTTTTTTTTTGCCGAGTATTTCATTAATAAAGAGAAAAGATAGTAACCGAATATGCGGGTACGTGGAGAACCTTACCCCAATAGCCGAGTACAATGATGACAAAATAAAAAGAACCAATGCAATGCATGAAAAATAAAAAGAACAGATGCAATGCACGAGCTACATCCAAGCTTTAAAAATAAAACTAGGATAACCAGAGATGCCCCAATTAACATGTTGAGCAATGAATTCTGGGGGAGATGTCCACCAAGTGAATGACGAAACCGAGATACCAAAATTTGCAAGACCATCTGCAACTTGGTTTCCCTCTCTATATAGACATGCGAGATTTGAATTTGCATTGATTCCATTTGACGGCAATAAATGCTCCATAGGGGTATGCATTCCCAAGGAATAGAGAGCAAGAATTTGAGAGTCACACTCAATCCAAATTCGATTCATCCCAAAAGCCACAACTATATAAAGCCCTTTGATGACTTCCATACGCTCAGCACAAGAAGCATTTAAATCCCCCATGAAAGGTTGTACGTGCCTTTACAAACCCACCGAAAGTGCAGAATATAGCCCACAAGCTGTGGGACAAGAGCAGCCCTTTGCAGCACCATCAGTGTTGAGCTTCAACCACTCCAATGGTAGTTTCTGACATAGCACCTCTTTAATTACCGGGGCAAGTCATCACAGATGTCCTTTGATACCCATCTGTACAAGTATTCCAAGCTCCTCAACAGTATTAAACACAGTCCCAGATTAAAGAATCGCAGATTCCCGCGTAAGAGAGAATTAAACGCTTTGCAGAAGTGAGTGATGGAGGGATGTCATTGAATCTACAATCATTTCGTGATTTTCAGATAATCCAATTACAATTCACCATCATACTTGGTGCCAATTCTTTGAGCTGAGAACTAAGGCTTTAGCTTTTCAAGAGAACCATCTGCTCTAGTAAGGAGTTCCCCACAAAATTGAGCTAAAGTGCATGAGAAAAAATGTGACTTGAGCATTCCAAAGTACAAGGCAATGGACAGAGCAAGCAGACGAAAACCAAGGTAACGCCGCGCTTTCAAATGGCATCATCCAGTGGCAATTCAACCTCCAAAGCAACATAGACCGTCTAGGATGATTAGACTTGTTCCGAAGTAACTTAACCCACGCTTATAGTGGCTGCTTTAATGGAGTAAAATCATAGCCTGATTTTAGTATTAACATACCGTCTGTGGAAGGTTGCCAACCTTGTTGGTCCACCACAGAATTAATCAACTTCACTTCTTAATACGATGTCAAACTGCTAGAAATTTAATTAGAAAGAACTTGAGATTGACCAATCCCCCCCCCTCCCAAAAAAAAAACATAATATGCAACCTTGGAAGACAATCTAGAAGCCAACAAAGGGTGCATATTACACAGAGCAGTCAAGGGGAACCTAACCAATTATATCTCCAAAACCGAGTAGAACTGCCATCACCAATAATCTACTGGGAATGCTCTTGAATAACCCCCAACTGATTTTGAATTCCTAGCCAAATACTGGTCTTGTAATATGAAATTGGACCAAGGGAAGAGTTTAAGAAGCGAGCACAAAGAAAACAAACGAATTGTTCCTGTGAGCTTAAAATGTTTCATGCCAAGGTTAGCATGGTTGAGAGTAGAGAAATCACTCACGCCAAGACCACCTTCTTCCACCCGAGCACATACTTTCCTAATAAAGCTCATTCTCCTAAAATTACTAAAATACTTCTATTCAAATAGATTTTTCCAATGGATTAATTGTAAATTGCACACCGAAAGATCATTCGAATCTCAATTTGCACCCTCAAAGGAAAAAATTTTGCATCAATGTGCACCTAAAACTAACAGCCGTCAGTTTACCGATTAAAACTAAATTGATAAATTACACCTAGATCCCCTCGTACTTGTCACTTAATCATTTGGACTCCCTCATATTTAAAATATTACTCCTACACCTCCTATCATTTGTGCAAGTGTAACATATAACCCCTTGTCGTTGATATCTATTAATATAACCGTTAAAAAAATATGATTTCATCCTAATAAAAAATTATAATTTCATACTACCCTTTATTTTGTGGGCTAGATATACTCTAAAGTTCAAAATCAAGTTTACCATTTGAATGTCTAGTACAACGTAGGTATTTATATAATGTTATTTATATCCAATGCAATACACCACTTAAATAGAATTATTTTAATGCCCAATTGGGAGAACATTTTTAGTCATATTTGAATTTTCAGGGGATGTAGGTGTAATATTTCAAATGTGAGGGGTCTAAATGATTAAATGACAAGTATGAGGGGTCTAGGTATAATTTATTCATTTAGTTTTAGATGTCAAACTGACGGTTGTTAGCTTGAGGTGCGCATTGATACAAATTTTTATCTTTGAGGGTGTAAATTAAGATTTTTTATCTTTGAGGGTACAAATTGAAATTCGTAGTGTGGGCATCTGTTTCTAAGGATTTTGATGGTATTCCACTCTTTTGCATATTGGCGGATTGAAAGGCCTCATATGCATGTTAAATATAATGATTGTTTTTGTTGTCTTGTTTTTTTGCCACATTTCATGGTTGGACATCTTGTTCATCCTATCAAATCTTTGCTTTACTATTTTTGAAATTAATAAAATAGTATGGTTTCCTATCAAAAAAAAATACACCTTCCTTTAAACCAACAAATTGTACATCTTCCGACTAGGCTTCCAAAAGTTGAATATCAAACTTATTCATCCACCCAATGGCTACGCCATCAATTCCCCTATGTTGAAAACAGTGTGCATCCAACAATTGAGGAAGAGGACCAAAAAATACTATCTGATTGAGAAGCTTGTTGTCTCAATAATGAGGTCTTCTGTGTTTGTAGCACACATAAGCATTTATTTCTTCTTTCCATCAATGACACATTGTACATCATGATCACCCATCCATGTGTGCCCTAGAATTATGTAAAAAACCTTGAGAGGTAGGAGTACATGATACATAACTATCTTTAAAAACTTCATGAATCGTGAATGTAACTAGGTGCCTTTTATCAACTGTCAGGTTGGTGTTGGTAATCCACCCCACATGATAGGTTCTAGATGTGGTCCACTTTTAAACTCAATTTCTTGCCTCTTCCAACACCAGATTTGTGCATCTCCCAAGGTCAATTAGTAATGAGCATATCTGCCCCTTAGGAACCCTTTTTTGAAATATATTTCTTGTGAATAAGCTCGTTATTAACTTTTTTATTACCAACAAATGAAGGAATCATAACACCCATTGAATGATCATCATCCACATCACCCAATACCATCTACTTCTCTAGTTAGGGAAAAAATTGGTAGACTTCTATTTGATACATTGTTAAGGATTATTACTTGTTCATCTCTCTTTGTCATAGGTGCATAAGCTACTATGAGTTATATGTCATTATGAAATCTAAGATAGACTCCCTCGTATCATTATTACCTCCAATTCCATGTTCATTATGCACCAACAAGTAACATTACATCCCCTCACCCTTTCCCATAAAAAAGAAAAGGAGAACTAGAGATAAGGAGATGAGAGAAGAGAAGAGAAGAAAGACAAGAAAAGAAAGCGAGGAAAGAAACCTTTATTATCCATATAGGAAAAGAGTAAAAAATGAGTGTGACAAACTTTGAGAAGAGAGAAGACAACAAAGACAGGGGAGATAGCTATGAGAAGAGAGAGAAGAAACAAACAAATTAGGAGGCCAAGAGAGAAAAAGAATTGTCCATTTATTTTCTATGAGCTTTGCCTAATACTGTTCTACATCAACAAAGCCTTTTTGTAGGCTTCATATAATCCAAAAACAACTTCAAGTTGCAAACACATATTACTCACTATGTAACAGCATCAGCTTATTTACAAAAAGTCCATCTATGACTAAAACAACTAATACTACTTCGATTGCCATGCCGACCTGCAATTAATATCTAGATGAACTTTCAACCTTAACAACCATTAAGCTGTGGATAGCTCAAACCTGTAAGTGGAACCTAGCTAATGCATTACAAAAAGTTCATCATACCGATAACATTAGAAGAGTAGACCTAAGTCAAGACTTCAACCAGAACACATACAAGAATATAAAAAAAAAATTGATCTCCCCAAACTTTTTAATGGTGAAGTGAAATAGGAAGACACTAAGTTGTTGTAATATGCAAGGCATAAGAATCAAGATTTCACATGTAGTGCTGAAAAGCAACTTTTCTAATAGAAGGAAAGAATAAAAAATTCAAGCTTACATTAGCATGGTGTTCTAGCAAAACTTTTACAGCATCTTGCTGGCCATGACCAGCAGCCCAAATTAGCGCAGTACCAGCATCACTTTGTGAATTAACATCTACATCGTGGGAAAGTAAGAACCTCAGCAACTCAATATCTCCTGCAAACAAGGATGAATTATACTGAATGCGTATTAGGTAATAAACATATAAGAGCCCAAAATGAATACGGTGATGTGCGACTACTCAATAAGTAAGTGAGTAGTCACTATCATGGAAAATGATATTTCATAATTCCCATCCAGGTATAGTATGCAATTATACAATTTCCCACTTTTTTTAGGATTAAAAAATCCAAGAAATTAAAATTGCAGCAAAAACTGAACAAACTGTGTATACTTGAAATAATCTACCACCTGCATATGTCAAAGTGATGTCATAATTCTTTATTTCATAGGGAGATTCACTACAACTGCTCCCAGAATAACAATGATATGTATTAGGCATCACAGGATACATCTTAAGCAGTGGCTTGTGCAGTCATTAAAGCTAAACATGATTCTATCTTCCACGTGTCTCAATTGTTATTTACGATTACACTAGCAATATTAACCTCCCCACTCTGAAGGAGAGAAAAATGTGTATATTTCTTAATATTTTTGCCTTTATTCATCCAATATATGGTTGGCTAAGAGGAAGCAAAGTACAACGAAAACTAATCTATTAGGTTATAGTTTCGTATTTTAATTGACACGCACTAATACAAGTATGTACTAGCCCATACGTCGAACCAAAATCACAAATTTTCTCCCACCCAAGATGGCACTAGTAACCCAAAAGAATAAGAAAAATATATGGCTCGTCAAAACCAGACCAAATACAGAATCATTTTCAATTCATCTAACAAGCGATCAAATATACCAGCTCCACGTGTGTTGTATTTTAGTGCCTATACTTTACACAGCTAGTCCCAAGCCCAATAAAGGAGAAGGGATGCATTAGGTAGATCATAGCCGGTTCAACAAATAAAAACGCAAATACTAAGGCATTCCCCTAAAGTAATGAGTTGCACCCGAACCCCGGTGTTTTCAAATATGAGTGAGAGGCACTGCATTTTTGTCACCCAAATGCAGCGAAAAATATACAAGAGTTCTCACATTACTTTGGATGAACACAGGTAAAGAAATTAATCCAACATACTAAGTTTAGATTAGCAACTACAACAGTATCTGAGAATCAGTTTGTTTTTATGACGGGCAAATCAACAATCGAAGCTATAAACTTACTTCAAATACTAATGGTAAGTTATAAAAGAGAAAAATAATAAACTTCATATGGATTTTATAAACTTAGAGAAGGCATATGATAGAGTCCCTAGAAATATTTATAGAGGATTCTAAGAAAGGAAAAAATTACTCTTAGATGGCAGGAGAGTAATGAATTCCCAATCACTTTAGGCTTACATCCAAGGATCAAAATGTCGTGTCGACACATCCGAAACGTCCGAAACGTTTCGGAATTTCAACACTCCGAAACGAAACAGTAGTTGAATCACAAAATTCCAGTGTTTCGGTCGAAACGGTACTGTTTCGAACCGTTTTGGTCGAAACGGCATTGTTTCGGACCGTTTCGACAAAACAATGATATATTCAGTTCATTATGAATAATTACATTTAATACCCCATTATAATTACATTTAATACCCACTGTAATTACATTTAATACTCACTATAATTATATTTAATATCCCACTATAATTACATTTAATTACCACTGCTCTTCTGTCTTTTATAATTTTTTTGTTATAAGAATAAATAATTAAACTTAATACCCTACTATAATTATATTTAATACTCATTATAATTATATTTAATACCTACTGTAATTATATTTAATACCTTACTGCTGTGCAAGTTTTTTGCTTTTTTTTTTTGTTATAAGTATTAACAATTATATTTAATACCCTAATGTAATTATATTTAATACCCACTGCAATTACATTTAATACTCACTGTAATTACATTTAATTTTTAAGTATACATAAGTATCATTAATTTAATTTGATACCCTTCATTATTAGTATTATAATAAAATAGTATTATTAATTGGATAATATTACCGTAATAATATGATTTGGAGTAACTATTGTCATCATATTTATGTCACATATGGAGTTTCTCTAAGTAGCTACCCAGAGCTTACACCGATGTATGAGCCTGCTCGACACTCCACAGGGGGATGGATGTAACCATGTAAGTATGTACTCATTAGCATTTCATGTGTATTATAAGACCTTAATATTATGTAAAAATGTGTTTATTTCATAAAAATTAAGTGTTTGAAACTAATTTAAGTGACTTTTGCCTCATGTCAAGCCTTTTTTTCCCTCAAATTTAAATTTATTCTTGTATAAATTAATGTTAACCTAATAAATATATTGAATTAATCAATTATTTAGCATATCTTTATAAATTAATGGATTGTATTTGTGTTTCTATGCGTTTCCATATTTTTTCTGCGTTTCCATTGCGTTTCCGAAATGTTTCCGAAACGTTTCTATTTTTGAGTTGACCGAAACGGTACTTCGAAACGAAATTTTGATCCTTGCTTACATCAGGGTTTTGCTTTGAATCCATATCTTTTGCATTTCTTATGAATGAATAGACTACACATATTCCAGATGAGCTCCCATAGTGTGCTATTTGTGGATAATATCATACTGGTTGACAAAAGTAAAAAATAATAATAATAAGCTAGAAATATGGTGAGAACCTCTAGAATCAAGAGGATTTAAGATTAGGAGGACTAAAACTGAGCATATGGAATATACCTTTAGTAAAAAGAAGAGGTCCAAATTGAGAAGTAGTAATAATTAAAAATCAAAAGATGGCGAAGAGTAAACATTTTAAATATTTAGGGTCTATTATTCTCAAAGAGTGAGATTGGTGATGATGTTACTCATAAAATTAATACATGATGGAATAAATAAATGCATGCATCCGTTGTATTATAGATAGAAACATATCCCTTAAGCTAAAAGGAAAATTCTATAGAAAAACCATAAGAGTCGCCATGCCTTATGATACTAAGTGTTGGTAACTAAGAAACAACATCTACAAAAATAAAGTGTAACAAACATGAGAATGTTACGATAAATGTGTGGTAAAATTAAGAAATATAGAATTAGGAATGATGAAAAAGCAAAGATAGCACTTATAGGAAATAAATTAAGGGAGCATCGACTTTGGCTAGTTTGGACACATTTATAAACAACCTACTACGACACTGGTAAGAAAGAGTGATATGATAGCTATTGACAACAAGAATATGGATAAAGGAAGAACAAAATTAACTTTAAACGAATAGTAAATAAAAAAATGGCAAAAGAGAATTCATATAACTGTCCCAGAAATGTTGAGTAAAGACTTTGTTGAATTGAATTAAATTGTATTAAATCAAAACCAAATTTTGGAATTGAACAACATAATTACCAACGGGAAACTAATAAAAATAAGTTTTTTGGTAGAATTAGGATGTTCAAAGTAAAGAATTCATTAAATAAAATGAAAATTGGAAAAGCTTTAGCAATGGATGGTGTACCAATTAAAATTTGGAAGTGTTTCAAAGATGTCGGGGTATTTTGGTTAACTAAATTATTTAATAAGATTATAAGAACTAAGAAGATGTCAAATAAGTGGAGGAAGAGTATTTTAGTACCTATGTATAAATACAAAGGGGACATTAAGAGTTGAAAATATAATTGAGGTATTAAATTAATGAGTCATACAATAAAACTTTGGAAGAGAGTGGTGGAGCAACGATTAAGGCTTGAAAAAACCGTATCTAAGAATCAATTTGGGTTTATGCAAGGCAGGTCAACAATGGAAACTACATACTCACTTATGAGACTAATTGAAAGATATAGAGAAAAAAGAAAGATATTCATTTAGTGTTTATAGACTTAGAGAAGGCATATGATAAGAGTTCCTAGGGACATATTATAACGGGTTTCAAAGACAAAGAAAGTTACAAATAGTTATATTGATATAATTTAGGAAATGTACGAGGGTGCAATGACCTTAGAACAACTGTAAGTAAAAGTAGTGAATTTTCAATCATGAAAGGTCTACATCAAGTTTTTGCTTCAAGTCTATATCTATTTCCCTTAAATATGGATGAATTGAAAAGACACATTCAAGATGAGATTCCATGGTGTATATTATTTGTTGATAGTAAAGTTTTGATTGATGAGACAAAAGTAGGAACTACAAATAAACTAGAAGTTTGGAGAATCAAAAGAATTTACAACAAGTAGAAATAAAACCAAATATATGGAATGTAGTTTTAGTAGTAGTAAAAATTCAAATAAGGATGTACTAAAGATAGAAGATGAAGAGGTACCCAAGAGAGAACACTTTTTGTACTTTTTGTATTTAGGGTCAATTATCTAAATGGACAGAGAGAATGAAGGCGATGTTAATGATAGAATTAAAATAGATTGGACGAAGTGGCGAAATATATCGGGTGCATTATGTGATCACCACATACCCCTTAGGTTAGAAAGTAAATTTTATAAGACAATCATTAGACCAGCAATGTTGCACGGTACAAAATGTTTGGCAATTAAGAAACAACACACTTAAAACTTAAGTATTGCAGAAATGAGAATGTTATAACGAATGTGTGGTAAACAAGAAATGATAGAATTACATTAAACCGTACAAGTAGCACCAATAAGAGATAAACTGAGAGAGAATCGACTTATTGGTTTGGACATGTTTATAGAAGACCTAGTAATGCCCAAGAGTGATTCAATACATATCGATGGTAATCCAAGAGGTGGAGGTGGAGGTAACTCTAAATGAAATAGCGCAAAAAAATATGATAACTTATGGTCTAACTAAAAATATGGCCCTTGTTAGAGCACAATGAAGAAATATGATTCATGTAACAGACCTCCAATAGTTGAAATTAAGTCTTTGTCGAGTTACTTGACAAGTTACTTTGAGAAGTGAACCAACATATAAGGGCTAAATTAATACCGAACCCAGCCACCCCATATCGGCCACCTCATCAAAAGAAAACAAAAAGCAAAAAGATGAAAGAAAAATAAAGTAGGAAAGAAAACATAGGTCAATGGGAGGGGCAAGATGTTCGCTTCTTTTGATTATGAAGCCAATGATGACCACAATACTGACAAAAAAATATTTTAGACTGCATACTTTTTTTTAATAAGCAATAGAAATATCTTCCTCAAAAGCAAGATCATAGAAATAGTAGACAACAAATCTGACTAAGTACCAAAAACATAAAATTGAAAATTACAAAAGGAACTAACCAAAATTAACCACCACTAAACCCGACCTCATTTTAATCATGCTTGATATAATTTCATATCTAAAAGAGGAAAGGCATGACATGAACCAATACTATATAACAGGCAAAGCATATGAAAAACCAAAAAGGAAATGGAAAGCAAAGAAATCCTACTGATGTCAGCTACATAAATCCAAGTATACTAAGATGCAAACTGCACCGACAGTATCACCATTATTCCATTGAGGCTTTTTGTATACTCTGATAAAAGTAAAATAACAGATTCAATATGGGTGTTGAATGTAGAATGGTATACATACTACTACTTTTTTGTGACAGGAAATAAGTTGATTATATTAATGTAGAAGTAGTGAATCAGTAAATATGGAAGGGTGGACAAGATATCCAACCTAAAGTAAAAACAAAAAAGAAACAATACATAAAATAAATGAGTCATATGGTGCACTGCACTCCAATCTGCAAAAACGCAAAAGTTGAATCCCCTCAAAACCCTTAGTAACCAAAGCCCAAAACAATGCCAAAAAGTGAATGTGAACCCATAAGCTTCCATCAACTCCCATCAGTTGTCCAATATTCCGGCGTTCCCTTCCTTCCAAAGAACCACAACAGTAGTAAAGATTTCACAATTCTATAGAATCACCCCTTTATTATTTATTCCAAAACCCCTTAAATCAACAAACAAGGAAGATGTTCCAACCTTGGTTCCTACCACCACCATCTGTTTCTTACTAATTGAACTACTTTTTTAACTATAATTTACTAGGATTTTGCATATCACATGTATAATTGAGTGATCATTAAAGTAAATCATACACTTGGTCAGGAGCTAGGAAGCACGGATATGGACACGGTTATCGTATCTGATACAAAACGGATACAGGAATACGACAAAGTTCTAAAATATAGGACACGAGTACGGCAAGGATACAGCTAATTAAAATAATATTATATATTTTTTATACAAATAATATTAATAATAAGACCTAAAAATCCTTGAGTAGTTGGTTAATATTTTATAATTAGACAATGGGCTAATATTAAATTGGATTAGTTGACTAATATGTTATAATTGAACAGTGGACTAACACCAAATTTGAATGTGGCCTTAGAACAAAGTGCACTGTGGGTGATAACTAATAAATGAATTATACCAACAAAAAAAAAGAAAAATATAAAAAAAAACAACTTGTATGTTCTTTTTTTTTTCGCCGGTATTGTCTCTGTTCAATCAAGGCGAGGGAAAGAGAGAGAAGAAAAAGAATCCTTGGGCAGCTGACACCATCTCAGGAAGCTAGAGGAGAAAGGAAAATAAAAGGATGCAGATCCGATCATTGAAGCACATCGTTGAAGTAGATCCTTGACGGCAGATCGTTGAAGCTCGTCGAAGCAGATCATTAAAGGCAGATCGTCGAAGCAGATCCGGTATGTCCATTCACCTCTTCTTCTCTACTTTCTGTCAAAAGTAGATTTGGCAAATTGTCGAAATTTTCTTTCTCTTTTTTCTTCTTTTTTTTCACTTATTTTCAGCCCTTATCCCTGTATCCCTACATATCTGAGCCGTGTCCGGCAACAAAAAATCTCTGCTCGCTGTTCAGGACACCTTTAGAAATGTCGGACACGTGTCCAGCTGTGTCCTACGCATATCTGTGTCGGACACGTGACACCGCCACGTCGACTTCCCGTCGAGTATCCGTGCTTCTTAGGTCAGGAGTCAAGCTTTTAATTTTCTCAATAATTGATACAGCTATCACTAGTATATGTGCCACCTTCTTTTTTCTTCGATTTACATGTGTTTGATTGTTGATCTTTAATTACAGATGATAGTGAAACCAATGTGGCAGCTTGTGTTTCTCCATGATCACAGAAAACCCGTCACAACATCTCATATTGAAGAAATCATCAAGCATGAAAAGAAGACAATGTCATTCATTATAATAGAACCACCAATATCTAAATATACAACTTCCTAAACATATAATGTTCTCTATAGACCATTATAATCTTGATATCTCATGTTCCATTGCTAGTTGTGTCCTATTCATCAAGAAATGGTAAAAAATAGATTGTATTTCCAACCATGATTACAATAAAGCTTATCTTTACAAGCTATTAATGTCACCGTGAAAAAAAAAACGTCAACATGCAAAAAAGGGGATAAAATCACATGTAACAATAAGCTTCTAGAAGTTCGTTGACCCCTAGCCTCTTATCAGAAGAATCTCCCCAAAAAGCCAAAAATTGTAATGTTAAGCCTTAACCGGCACAATCCCTGCCCACAGCATGCTGAACGCTCATCATTCATTCTCTATATATACTTTTTGCATGATAAATAACCAAACTCAACAAATCTCATAAAAGAAAAATTAAAGCCTCATTTAGCAAACCAAATGACTTCTCTTTAGCAAAGAAAAATTAAAGCCACATTTAGAAAAATAGTAGTCATTTCTTCCAAGAAAAGCCATAAAGGTGGAATTCGAGGTGTTGTCTATCCTTCACATCTGGAAAGAAACTACTTGAGGAGTATAATTACGTAATAGATTATTTCAAGAAAGGGGAAAATAAAACACCTATTCCCGCAGCATGGTGCAGAGCTGTGGCCCCCAGTTCACTGGGTATTTCAGGATCAGCACCGCACTCAATAAGGTATTTGGCAGTGGAAGTATGTCCTTGCCGAGCAGCATGAATAAGAGGAGTTTCACCTGTCAAGCAATGGAGATTCCAAAACATAACCAAAAGCAGGCTAAACGAAGCATCCATATCCTTCATTTATTAAGGGACTCCCCCCGCCCCGCCCCCCCAAAAAAAAAAATATATATATATATATATACACATCAAAAATGAAAAACCAAAATTATTTCTCGTTCTTATTATATGAGGATCATAAAACCACTAGATATCAACTGGTACAAGAATATCACATTAGGAGCAAGAATATCATCATAAAGCTGGGTGGAAGCGGATTTAGTTAAAGACCATTGCTTAAAAGTTTAGCACAATCAGAAAACCAAGGCTGCCGACACTCTCTGTCAAAAGTCATAATATCATAATTCGATTAAATTAGACATGTAATCTGAAATTACATTCACATAATTCTCTAATCAATAAAGAGTTACACCAACTACTTGCCAAACTAATAAGTAAACCTCCAATTTTATTTTGTCTAGACACACAGCTATGCTTGGAGATCAGCTAGAACTAATAAATCAAAATGGTGATTAACAGTAGAATTATCCAATCGAAAAAACAGTAGGATTAGCCCCTTTCCCTGTTCTCACAAAAAACAACTCAGTTAAGGGGCCAACAGAAAGTAGCTTTTTTGGTTTAAGTAATAGAAAAGTAGATTGCACTCTTCCAACACAGATTTAATCACTTTGTTGTTATTGTATCTGTGAACTCGAATTGGTACTAATATGTTCACAAATCAAAACAAAATTAACATTTAATGTGTTTGTGCGTGTGATATGTATATGTATACACATATATAAGCTCAAATAATTATTAACATACTGAATAATACAAATACCATCTCTTCATTTGTACCAACATTGAAACTTCAACAGGGACCACGGTTCAGTGCCTTAAAAGTCGGCCACTTTTATATGATTGAAGGATAGGTTGGCAACCCAATTTAACTGGATCCATTAATGGTACTAAACTGGTGCAAATTCATGTTCATAAATAAGCACACTGCTGTGGGTTTTCAACATAAAGCAGCCACTTTATATGATCAAGGACAAGGATAGGTTGGCACCCCATTTAACTGGATCCATTAATGGTACTAAACTGGTGCAAATTTCATGTTCATAAATAAGCATAGATAATTCTTAAGATATCGAATTTAATACCATCTTCGTCTTTTGTATCACATCGAGCTTCAAGTCCTCCAGCAAGTACTTGCACACCTCAGTCTTGCCCTCTCTCGCAGCAAAATGAAGAGCCCCTCGCTTGTTAGCGTCCTTTACATCAGCCACCGTTTGCGCCAGCCCCCTCCCCTCGTCCAGTTGCGTCGCTAATTCTATACATACACACGCAGAGACACCCAATACAATCATAATAAAAGCACTTGAAAAACTAGCCAATTATTATCCGTTGAAGTTTAACAGATTTTCGAGCATACTCTTGAAGAGGTCAAGATTCCCGGTACGAGACGCATCGAGAAACTGTTGAACTTTTTGCCTCACTGAAA